CMWTKRWKTATCATTAAACATATGATATATAATTGATATATATTAAACGTTTGATATATTATTGATATATATTATTTAATTATTGATATATATGTGTGTTGATATATCATGAATATACCTTATATACTTTATGTTATGTTTTACTTCAACCGAAAATTTTTGTTTGGAATTATAAATTGAATGTGTAGTTTTACACAAAATTAAAAATTTTAGATAACATCGTAAAAACTATTTTCCTTAAATTACTAGTAAGTTGGAGGTTGTTTAACAAGGATTCRAAAGTGATATACCTAATATTTTTATCAATATTTATATATTTGTCAAAAAATTTTACTGGGAGATTTAATTTACCGCATATTGGTTCGAGATATAATGTAGTTGGAGAAAATGACATAGATAACCTAAAAAAGTTTTTAGTTTGCTCAATYGACCTCAATTATAAAAATTGACTMAACTGACCCAATTTTAACTTTTATGACATTTCAGAGAGTATGTAATTACGAATGTACCATCGAATTTCAAGGCCACAACCATGGCTGTAGTACGACCATGAATTTGGACAGAACGTAAAGTACATCTAATTCACGGTCGTGGCGTTATTTTCATGACCATGGTCAAACTAACAATGAGCTAGGTTATTTTCATGGTCATGGTCAAGCTAACAATCGACTAGGTTTTCATGGCCATGGTCAAGCTAACAATGGGTTAGGTTATTTTCATGGCCATGGTCAAGCTAACAATGGACTAGGTTTTCATGGCCATGGTCAAGCTAACAATGGGCTAGGTTTTCATGGCCACTGTTAGTGTTAGCTTGACCATGACCATGAAAATAATCTAACCCATTGTTAGCTTGACCATGGCCGTGAAAAATAGTACGACGACCGTGGTGTTCATGAAAGACAACTAATTGGCTATGTTTGATCGTTGTTAAATTGTTTGMTTTACCATGACCTTGAAAGTTAAGACCACGACCGTGAATTAGATGTACTTTGCGTTCTGTCTAAATTCATCGTCGTACCATGACCATGGTTGTGGCCTTGAAATTCGACAGAATCAATATCCTCGTTCAATTTGCACGGGGATTGAAATTCAACAGAATCAAATTCACGGTCGTACCACGYCCACGGTCGTACCACAAGGATTGACTAATGTAACTTTTGACCTACAACAATACTCATAAAAGTTCAGAAATTTCATTCACTCCAACTACATATATCATATTCTGGACGAATCGAAAACAATATTATAAACCAATAAAAAACTAACCTCGTTCAATATGTCAAAGATGAAAAATTGACTTCCTTCAAGGTATTCATAAGATGTGAAAAATGTTGGAAAAAGTGTGGAGGTTCTTCAAAAAAACGTGAAAGATGTGCATGATGACAATAAGAATTGAAAAATACTTTTATTTTTTGCAATCTATGCGAATGTGTGAGTATATATTAAATGATAATACAAAAAATTGGTGGGMAATTAATAGGTTGGTGGTACTTTAATAAATTCATGGCCATGAATCAAGTGAAACTCACCTTTTAATTACATCAACCTACCCACGTGATTCCTTACCAGATTCATTGTAGTTTAATTAAATCGGGGGTATATTCGTAATTACAAACTCTCTRAAATATCAAAAAAATTAAAATTGAGAYCAAGCAGACTAGAATTTTTTTTAGATTATATATGTAATTTTCCCAAGTTAGCTTTTGCGATTCAATCCAGATATAACGGTACCCTTACCATTTGTTGTTCTACGAAGCTCTCACCTCATCCCCTCCCAAAACCCCCCGCCATCACACGATCACCAGAAGAAGTTCACTGCAATGGCGACGCTAATGTCGGCCTCCAGAATTCAACCCGCAGCGTGTGTTCTTTCCTCCTCGATCAAGCGCCTGGGTTTCAATTCCCTCCTTCGTTCCAATTTCTCGGTTTCTCTTCCTCGCCATTCCTCCTCCTGCTTCGCGCGCTCTGGAGGTTCACGAACGCTCTCTATTTCCATGTCCGTTACCCCTCTTGAAACCTGCGTCAAAGCCTCCACCACTGTGCCCAACAGCCTCGGCGACTGTAATTTCCTCTCTTTGTATCTATTTCTTGCTTTTTGGAACGGCTATTTATGCCCCTGTTGGTTTTTCTTTTTCTTCATGTGGGGTCTTCTTTATTTCTGTGTTGAATGTGGACTTAATATCAGGTACATTTGCTAAAAATTGTAGTAATTCGTCATTGGTTGGATTTCTTTTACTTCCCGTTTGGAATTTATGTGTGTTTTGAGAAATGAAGCTAATATGACAGCTAGTGAACTTGAAGATTATTGGATTTTGTATGTAAACATCAAATGTTTCTTTCATAAATTATGCAAGCATAACATGGACAGAAACTATATGTAGCACAATAGAGGTCGGATGAGAATTTGAACCTCCAACCGGTTATTGGTGTCTTAACTAGTTGAACTACTGACTGGAGCAATAATAAATAAAATACAGAAAAATAATTCAGAAGTAATTTGAGTTACTTGGACAACCTTGAATAGAATCGAGTTCTAAAACGATTTGAGGTATTTGGATCCTCCTCTCTTTAAGTCTAAATCAAACTGAAACCAACTAAACTATTGCCTACGGCCAACCTTTATCTTTTCTTATTCTCTATTTATGACAAATTTCTTGACTAATGATTAACATAGCCTTGATATCCTTAGAATATTTCTTATCCTAATTGTGCTCCAAATAGTAAACTGCATGAATTTGATGTACTAGTATATAACCTCAATTTAGGCTTGGTTATTGAAAATTTTTGTACATTTTTTCAGGCCCTTTTTGCCAAAGGGTATTACTGACCTTGGAGGAAAAGCATCTACCTTATGACCTAAAGTTGGTAGACCTGTCAAACAAGCCAGAATGGTGGTTATCTAATTTGCTCTCTCCTGTGTTGAAATTAGTTTTTGTATAATTAGTTTAATTTATCAGAAAGCTTTTCTAATTGACAGAGGAAGTCCTGTATTTATGATGCTTTAAGTGTGCAAGTCTTTGAACTTTTTATCTACTTGTCTGAATTATTCTTTTGTGTCCAGGTTCTTAAAGATAAATTCAGAGGGCAAAGTTCCTGTGATTAAATTTGATGAGCAGTGGGTTGCAGATTCAGATGTTATAACACAAACACTGGAAGAGAAGTACCCAAGTCCACCTTTGGCCACTCCTCCTGATAAGTCTTCAGTGTATGTTTTATGTTCTACAGTTGCCTCAGTTTTGAATTTTCCTATTAGGTGTAAGTTCAATTATATGGCACAATTACTGGAACCAAGTACTAAAAAATTTACCTTCTGGAGTCTAAGCCGATGAGTGTCCAGCGTCTGTACTATGTATGGATCACCCAAAAACATGCTCATGATTCATGAACATACAAACTGGTGTTAAGATGATAGCTCTGTGAGGGTAGTAGGAGATTTGTTGATGTAATCTGTTAAGTTACCTTATGTTGTATAAGAGTTAGTCTTAGTACTTTCTGTTTTAGTGAGTTAGTTTTAGTTAAGTCTGCTTTTGTCCTTGGTTGGTCTCTTATAAATAGCCAACCCACTCCTTTGTACAAGGCAGAATCAGAATAAAGAAGTTTTCTTCAAGAATTGGTTTACACCAAATTGGTATCAAAGCCCCAAAAAACTCCTTGGGATCTGATGGCAGGAAAGTCCACAGCACCTTCCGGCAAGKGACCTGCGGCGGATCTCTCAACAACTCAACCACTCTCTCCAAGAACAGCTACTGATYGTTATTGTTGGTAGAAGATTCCTTGGGGGAGGTTCATTCCAGTGTGCAGACTATCCACGAGTYGATGGAAAATTTGTCAAAGCACCTAGAAAATATTGCGTTGGAACAAGAACGGTTACGTGAGGATTTGGGTAATCGTGAGGGCCAACAAAGATTTGGACTTMAAGAACGTCCAAGAAACTGTTCCCAAACTCCGATTCCACAAAGAAACATGGAAAGCCGTGGAAGACGATGTCAAGATTGGTAGCTGAGACTTCGAGAATCAGACTCTTCTGGCGAGGAGGAGGATTTTTCTCGACACAATCCTCGTTTTAGGGGGGGCGAACATCAAAACAGAGGAGGCGTGCGTACAGACTTTCGAATGAAGATCGACTTACCTCATTTCAACGGTAAGATGGACGTTGAAGCTTTCTTGGATTGGGTAAAGAACGTTGAGAACTTCTTCGACTATACCAATACACCAGATGATAAGAAGGTACGACTTGTGGCATTTAAACTTCAGTCTGGCGCCTCAGCCTGGTGGGATCAACTGGAAATAAATCCGACGGTGCTTAGGTAAGCGTCCCATTCGTAGTTGGCCGCGGATGTTGCGCCTCATGCATGTTTCTTACCGCCCAACTTTGAACAATTATTGTACCAGCAATATCAGAAATGCCGCCAAGGTTCTAAGACCATTGCCGATTACACCGAAGAATTCCATCGTCTGGGCGCCCGAACAAACTTAACCAAAAGTGAAGATTACAAGATTGCCCGCTCTGTTGATGGCCTCAGGGAAGACATTCAAGATCAGTTGGAYATCCAGACATCCAGACATCCAACCCATTGGTCTCCTGACAGATGTTATCATGGCTACAAAGATTGAAGAACAGATAGAACGAAGATGGGGCAGGCAACCGGTTAGTCGAACAGCTTGGGATAAGACGGTTAATTCTAAATTTTCTCCCTCGGACATTGGCAAACCAATCACTGTCGGCAACTCTTCCTCTGCATCCAGCTCSAAAGTAACAGAGGAACAAACTAAAACTTTTCCTCCAGTCAAGAACACTGATTTGGTATCCAAGAAAGAGTTGAATCAATTTGGTATCCAAGAAAGAGTTGAATCAGTATGCCCGTCCGACAATGAAAAATGTTTTCGCTGCGGACAAGTGGGTGGTCATTTGTCCAACGAGTGTCCGCAATGACGAGCTCTGGCAGTGGTCGATGACATTGATATCGATGATGTTGAGATTGAGTCCCCAGGGGAGGAAGAACTCTCCTATGTCGAACCTGATGATGATGATTTCATTAATTGTGTCATCCAGAAAATTCTCTTGGCACCTAAGGTCGATCTGSCCAACTAGCGACATGCCCTCTTTCGTACCCGTTGTACTGTGAACGGCAAAGTGTGCAACATCATYATCGATAGTGGCAGCAGTGAGAACATGGTTTCTTAGAAGTTAGTGTCTGCCCTTAGCCTCAAACTTGATGCACACCCCCATCTGTATAAAGTTTCGTGGATTCGGAAAAGGGGTGAGACATCCATTTCTTCTGTCTGCACCATACCCCTAAGCATTGGTAACCAATATCGTGATCAGATTGTGTGTGATGTCATCGATATGGATGCTTATCACATTCTYTTGGGCCGTCCTTGGCAATATGATCTCCAAGCTATACATAAGGGYAGGGAAAACACTTATGAATTTCACTGGATGGGCAAGAAAATTGTTCTATTGCCTTTGACATTGGATCACAAGACCCGGAAAGAATCACCTTCTCCTTCTAAGCAACTATTTACCATTTTTAATGGTAAGTCGTTTATTCAAAAAGGCGACCCTTTGATATGGGCGTTGGTGGTCAAAGGTGACTTAAATCCTACGCCTCGTGCCCACCATCACCCGGATATTCAGCGCCTATTGGATAATTTTGCTAACTTGACACAAGATCCCTCGGGCTTACCTCCTTTGCGTGATATACAGCACTGCATCGACCTTATCCCTGGTGCCTCCTTACCCCATTTACCACACTATCGGATGAGTCCCACTGAGTATCAGATTCTACAAGACCAAGTCAACGACCTTCTTCTTAAGGGACACATCCGACCGAGCCTTAGTCCCTATGCAGTGCTTGTGTTATTGGCACCTAAAAAAGATGGTTCATGGCGGATGTGTGTCGATAGTCGGGCTATAAACAAGATCACAATCAAATATAGATTTCCTATACCTCGGCTGTCCGACCTTTTGGATCAACTTAGTGGCACATCTGTTTTCAAAGGTAGACSTAAATAGTGGCTACGACCAAATACGGATCAGACCTGGCGACGAGTGGAAAACAACCTTCAAAACAAATGAAGGGCTATTTGAATGGCTTGTGATGCCTTTTGGGTTATCAAACGCACCAAGCACTTTCATGTGCCTCATGAACCAGGTTTTACGTCATTTTCTTAATAACTTTATTGTAGTTTATTTCGGTGACATACTTGAATAGTAAAGTAGTTGATGATCACTTAACACACTTACAAACCTTATTCCAAGCCCTTCAAGACAATCAGTTATACATTAACCTAGCTAAATGCTCCTTCCTCACTAGTGAAATAGCATTCTTAGGCTTTTATACATCAAAACATGGTATTTTGGTCGACCCTTCAAAGGTTGAATCGATTCAAAACTGACCTACTCCCACATCTGTTAGGGATATCCAATGTTTCCTAGGCTTGGCATCCTTTTATTGTAAATTTATCCGACATTTTAGCTCTATTGCAGCCCCATTAACAAATGCCCTGAAAAAAGGTAAATTTGGTTGGGATAAGGAACAAGACATTAGCTTCCAAACTTTGAAACAAAAGCTTAGTTCCACACCCGTTTTGACCCTACCGGACTTTTCCCACCCCTTTGAAGTCGCCGTAGATGCTTCAGGAACTGGCATAGGGGCTGTGTTGTCCCAACGAAACCACCCAATAGAATACTTTAGTGAAAAACTTACCCCGCCTAGACAAAAGTGGTGTACTTACGAACAAGAACTTTATGCTCTAATTAGAGCTCTCAAACAGTGGGAACACTATCTAATTGGCAAGGAATTCATACTATTCACGGACCATTTCTCCCTTAAATACATACAAACACAAAAGACAATTAATAGAATGCATGCTAGGTGGATTGCTTTTCTTCAAAAATTTGATTTTGTAATCAAACATAAGGCTGGAAAACCTAATAAAGTTGCTGATGCTCTTAATAGGAAGGCTAGCCTATTAACTCTACTCACTGGACAAGTGATTGCCTTTGATCATCTACCAAATACATATGAACATGACAGTGACTTTCATACCGTTTGGCTCCAATGCCATGAGCATGTTAACAACAATGATTTTCATATCCTTGATGGGTACCTCTTCAAGGGGGACCGTTTATGTATCCCACACACATCTTTAAGGGAGATATTGATCCAAGATTTACATAGCGGAGAACTGGCTGAGCATTTAGGCAGAGACAAAACATATGAACTAGTGGCTGCTCGTTTTTTTTTTGCCACAGTTGAGGAAAGATGTTAATAATTTTGTCAACAGATGCAATATTTGCCAAAAAGCCAAGGGTCAATCTCAGAATACGGGATTATACTGCCCTCTCCCTATCCCTACAACTATTTGGGAAGATCTTTCTATGGATTTCGTTCTAGGATTACCAAAAACACAACGAGGATTAGACTTTGTCTTGCTCGTGATTGACCGGTTTAGTAAAATGTCTCACTTCTTACCATGTAAAAAAACTTYGGACGCTATATATGTGGCTAATCTGTTCTTTCGGGAGATTGTCCGTTTACACGGCATTCCAAAAATAAYAGTGTCCGACCGTGATGTCAAATTTCTGAGTCATTTCTGGAAAACCCTATRGAAGAAATTTGACACCAGCCTCAAATTTAGTACTACCAGCCATCCGCAAACGGATGGGCAGACGGAGGTAACAAATCGCACCCTCCGCAATCTAATACAATGCTTAGGGGGGAGAAAATCGAAGCAATGGGACCTTACATTGGCTCCAGTAGAATTTGCATATAACCATATGCACAACCGCTCGACAGGGGAGTCTCCCTATGAAGTTGTTTATACAAAATTACCTAGGCTTACTGTGGATCTAGCTCATCTTCCCTCTTCTATTGACTTGAATCAGGAAGCTGAGGAAATGGTAGAAAGAATAGTAGAACTACACAAGGAAGTAACGGAGAATCTTACCAAGGCTGCTGCGGCCAACAAAGCAGCAGCAGATGCCCACCGGAGAGTGAAGACATTTGAGGAAGGGGATTTGGTCCTRGTTCATTTAAAGAAATCCAGATTTCCAATAGGGACTTACAAGCACGAAAGATTGGTCCATTTGAAGTACTTAAAAAGTATGGCGACAACGCATACCGAATCAACCTTCCTACTGATCGGATCACTCCAGTCTTCAATGTTGCAGATCTGTATGGGTATCAAGCTGAAGAYGCATTTACATTGGCCAATTAAACTCGAGGATGAGTTTTCTTCAACAGGGAGGGAATTTGATGTAATCTGTTAAAGTTACCTTATGTTGTATAAGAGTTAGTCTTAGTACTTTCTGTTTTAGTTAGTTAGTTTTAGTTAAGTCTGCTTTAGTCCTTGGTTGGTCTCTTATAAATAGCCAACCCACTCCTTTGTACAAGGCAGAATCAGAATAAAGAAGTTTTCTTCAAGAATTGGTTTACACCATTTGTGATGATATCTTACAATATTCAATCAACAAAAATGGAAAACTATAACTCTAAATCTTACATTTTCATGTGTTTTTTTTGTTTTTGTTTTTGTTTTTATTTTAACTAATCATGGTTGATCATTAATAGTTTTCAGTATAAACCGACTTAAATTGTATATTACCTTACATTTTGATGACAACACAACAAGAAACAAATTTCATTGATAGCGTGAAATATACCAAAAAAAAAAAAAAAAACCCTATCCAAGAGGTTACAAAAAACTCCTCCAGTTGGATATCAGAGAATTTAAACTGTAACACTATTAAATGGATGTACACATTTGCACCATGATAAAGCCAAAAAGATGGTAACACAGCTTTATTTTCAAAAGCTTTTTTCAAGTATAAAGCAACAGAAAATAGTACTACATTATGAAAGAGAAGTTGTGTTTCAAGTATAAAGCAACAGAAACTATGCATTTTGAAAGATGACTTGAGGCTGAAAGCCTCTATGTAAATTGAAAAAGAAATTCTGGATGCACATATGTGAGTTCAGTAAGAGTCTTTCCAAAGGTTCGTTTTGTCCTTATGGCATCTCATATTTCCTTGTCTTCAGTTAGTGTGTGAAATTTATTTGATGAGTGTGCAATAGAAAGACAATAATTTTTCTCATTACATGTTACATATTTCATTCTCCAGATTTATCAAATAATTAATATATAGTTACTGGCAGCTATTATAATATTTTCCCTGCAGAGGATCAAAGATTTTCTCCGCATTTATTRCTTTTCTAAAGAGCAAGGATCCTAGTGATGGAACAGAACAAGCATTACTTAGCGAGCTAAGTTCTTTCAATGATAACATCAAAGAGAATGTAAGGACTTTTTCTTTTATGTTTCTTTCATTTTAACTCAAATATCCATGTTCTTGGAATGCATTCTCAATAAATTAATCTGTACTAAAATTTATACTCATAAACCTGGTTAAACAGAAAATAAGTTTTAATTGGATTCATCAACATCATTTTCTCATCCCACCAATAGCAAGCTCTGGAACATGTAAAAGTATCTCTATTATTTAAATTCAATGATTAATTCATAGATGATAGAACCCTTTTTCAGCAGTTAGGTCTCTCTCACATTGATTGTAGCTTAATGTTTTCCCCCAAGTTCTTGAATTTTGTACGGGCTGTACCACAGAATGATAGAAGTATTGCAAGGCACCATTTCTTTTCCATGGAATTCCTCATGCATGTCTTATCTCCTACATGACTTGACCTTCACTTAACTTTACTCCTAAATAAGATCCTGTCATTATCGTATGTTCTGTCATGACTTACCATTTTATATGTTTTTCTCCTTTGGAAAGGGCCCTTTTATCAATGGGMAAGATATTTCTGCTGCAGACCTGTCACTTGGTCCGAAGTTGTACCATCTAGAAATTGCCTTGGGACACTACAAGAACTGGTCTGTTCCAGACAGCCTACCCTATGTTCAGTCTTACATGAAGGTACAACTRAACTTTTAGCTTAACTGAGATTAGTAACAAATCGTTATTTCTCTTTGCGTTCAGCTTTTCAGAACTGTTGTTTACAGCTGCTTCTGTAAGCTGATTGGGATACTTATAAAATACGATGTTACTACATATTATCTAAAGTAAGAGAAATAATGTGTCAAAAGTTTCATTTGAAATATTCACAAACTAATAATTCTAAAGAAATAATGGTTCTTGAAAACACAGCGCAACAGTTTTTGGAACTCAACTCCAGTGTGGGACCATAGTTTCTGTTAGGTTTACTATACTTATTTATGAAACGTCATCTTATATTCAATGTTGCCTTTCCCTATCATTTAGAACAGAAGCAAAGCATCATCCAAAAACTTTCACAACATGATACTGGTGTCTGAATTTGACATCTGATGTAACCAGCATCATAAAGCTTGAACTGTAAGTTTAAGCGGATAGGTTCCAGTATATTTAATCATTTATTTATATTGTCAACACGCCTTTTCACTTCCTCACTTGTAGACTTTGAAATTAGTCCAATGTATTCATATCTTGGATTCCATCAAATTTTAGAATCATTCTTGGTAAACAGTGATTACCAATATTAATTGAGGAAGAAATAACATTATAAGAGATCGAGAATCTCTACTCTGATACCATACTAAATAAACTTGTTGGTGGTTTAAGGCTTCTTATTTATGGGATAATAGTTTTTTCTGTTTAAATAAAAAACTAAGCTTTCATTAAGAAAAGAATGAAAGATAACAACAGAACAAAGAACAAGCCAGGGCTGGCCGGCAACTAGGGGAGCCTCCCAACTAACTATACTAAAAAAAGGGTTCAATCCAAAATAATGAGACCTAATGGATAATAACAAAARTCCTTAGAAGCTGATACCTAAGTGGAGGCATTAAACCTTGTCAACGACCACGCCTCCTTCCAAGATCTTTCCATCCCTATATTATTCTTCTCTCACCACAGGTCCCACAAAACTGCAAAGAATGCAGCGTGSCATAAAAAATCTGAAATCTCTACTCCTAGCCAAACACACACCAAACAATTGGAAGAAGCTGAAATAGAGCTAGAAAACTGACAGACCCACAGAATGTTAGATCCTAATATTCAATATGATATTGAATATGCAAGATTAAAGTAGTTCAAATCTTTTCAATCCTCTTCTAATACACGACACAGAATCATGGTGAAATAGAGAGCAAAGTTATCAGGTGCAAGATAATGGTTGAACTCCGTGTACCTCAAAAAAAAAAAGGTTGAACTCCGTGGAAGAACCTTAACCATTTGGATTAACCTACAATTTTCTCATCGAATATGTTTCCTGATGTAACTGAGGTTTTTTTACTCATTTTTTCTATTACTTGTTTTTCTTAATCATGATTCATAACATTGTATCAGAGCATATTCTCGAGAGAGTCGTTTGCAAAAACTCGTGCACTGCCTGAGGATGTTATTGCTGGTTGGCGTCCAAAGGTCTTGGGTTAAAATCTTTTTGAGGCTGCTGAATCGTTTGGCACGAGATTCCGCTTCGCAGGCTCATTAAGCTTTCCAACAAATACCAAGCAATGAGGTTTCTTTTTTCTTTTTCTTTTTCTTGTTTTACCTCCTGCTTCTAGTTCTACTCAAAGCTGTTATAAATAGGAATTATTGAGTAGTGAAGTATGCTCATGTCCATTATTACATATTGTAAATTTAATCTCTCTCTGAAAGGAGGTGGTCTAAAATGGGTACGTACTCTGCCTTGTAATCTGAGTTTATAAAGCAAATGGTCAACTTAGGATTCCATATTGACTGTATTCTTGTACTTGGCAAAGGATGAAGATTCTACAGTAGGTTGAGTTTTCTCGGGGGCAGTCTTCAATCTCGAAAGCATCTTTAGACATCATGTGGCATGGCTACGCCATATCGTAGGGCATGTAAGGAAATGTCAATGTAACCAAGATTTCGAATCATTAGCAAGCTACCCTTCAATCTCGAAAGCATCTTTAGACATCATGTGGCATGGTTGCACCCTATCATAGGGGATGTAAGGAAATGTCACCGTAACCAAGTTTTCAAATCATTAGCAAGCTATCGACAATGAAGCCTACAATGGCTAGGGTGTTAAATTGCTTAACATTCAAAATCACGATGCCATCTTTATCCTCCCTCTATATGGGATTGATGGTAGTAGTCAATTGAAAAAACATACAATGGCTGGTTTGAGATTTTTCTTTGCTTTTATGCTCGAAAAATTATTTTTGTAGCGGGTTTTTTCTTTAAAGAATATTATAGTACATGTGGGGTGGGGTGAGAGCTAGAATCTAAGACTTTTTTTTTTTTTTTTTTAAAAAGGGATATATTAACTGTTGAACTATATTCAAGTTGACTTTATAATATTGTGCATGTGATACATAATTCTCAATATAGTTAAAAAAAAAAACCCCAAATATATTTTATTCACATTTGTAGTGCAAACGGTTTTTAATTTTTTAAAAGTCAAAAAGACCTTAAAAAATTCACCAAGAAACGGATAAATTAGAGAGAACATCAATAATAGGGGGGAAATTTTACGATCCTCCAAAGTAAATTGTATTTCGAAGTATAAGAACAAAATTGCATGTCTTTAAAAAAAATAATAAAAAAAARTTGTAACTCGTCATTTTTTAATATAAACTTTTAATTTTATCAAATTAGACTTCAAATCTATATAAATTTTACAAATTTTATTCTAAACTTAAGCAAGTAATTTAGTACTTTCCTTAAACTTTACTACTGTAATTTGTATCTTCTATTAGGCTATCATTTAAAGAATCATTACAAGAATTCTCATACACATTAAATGAATTCTAAAACATTTTTTTTTGGTATGAAATTGATGGAATTCCAGAAAAAGGAAAAAAAACACACTAGAATTGATTTTTTTTTAATGAGTTTTGAGAGATTTATTCCACAGACGATTTTGTACATTTATTTATTAGAGTTTATTTTACCTTTGGCGATCTATACACACTGCCATATTACTCTTAATAAAGTTAAACAAGATTAACTTACTCTCAAGTTTCTAATATTATTGTCAACATGCATAACTCTTCATCAAAYTGAAGGTTGTGAGATAAAATAAACAAAACTTCAGGGAAAACAAAATAGCTACCAAGTGTTTTGGAACAAAAATATCAACAAAATAGTATTTAAACAAATCTAAAACTATTTAAAATAGGCTATTTTTTTTTAAAAAGAAAAAAGAGAGAGACTTTGGTCACAGCGTATTCATATTTATATTTTGAATATAATAGGAGTATAAATTCGAACTAAGTGACATTTTGGGATCGAAAGCAGGTTACAAGCAGCAAATTCTTATTTCTACTTGGTCGCCAGTTGTCACCCACATAGCTCAATCCCAATGTCTGGCCGMTCTCTGTGTGCCACTGAAAAGCCTCACCCATAGCCATAGCCTTAAACCCCAAACCTCTACAATTCGAATTCCCATTTCACTGCCGCCATACTCGGCCGGAGCAAAGCTTTCGCCGGGACATGCTTCTTCAAATGCCCTTCTCTGGCCCCTCTCTCCTCCCTCCCTACAGACTCAATCCCCTTCTCTTCACCAGGCACCGCCCTGCTTTTCGCCTCTCCCGCTCCCATTTCTGCCGTCTTCGACCCACACAATTTACTGGTACACTCGCTTCTCCTTCCTCTGTTTGCTTTTCTGGGTAGCTCCCAGCAGTGGGGTCTCTACCCCTTTTTGTTTTTGTTTTTTGTTGTTGTTTCTCATGGATTTGTGTTATTGTTTCTATGGGTTTTTGTGGGTGTGGATTCATTATTTGCAAGAGATTTTCAATTCAATTGGGTGTAAGGTTCATCGAGAATGTGTCATGCTGTTGCTTGCATTGCGTCTTTTTTAAATTGTAGATGGGAAAACGAGTTTCGTTGGGAACCAAATAGCGTGGCGTGGGGTTAGATGGTTCGTCCGGTCTGCGCTAGCTGGGCGGACACTCACAAATATCAATGAAAAAAATGATAGATGGATTTTTTTTTTTTTGGGTGTGGAATAATCTGTTTAGCTCTGAATAGGTAAGATGAAGAATTTAACTGAGGTGGTAAGAATTAATTTTCTTTTGGTTGGACTCTTAGCAGTTGTGGATATCAGAATTTATAGTTAGTAGGAATGACGACTTCTTATTCTTGATAATAGCTGGAATTAGACTTGATAGATTAAGTCTCTCATTGATTTGAGTGTGTGTATATTCATCAGTGATTCATTGAATTTTCAGTTGCTGCGTCAGCGAATGGCGTGTTTACTTCTCCAGAGGTAGCAAAGACGTTTGACTTTGCTTCAGAAGAGCGAATATACAGATGGTAATTGATATCATGTCAATGTCCTCACAGTATTTGATACTATAATTTCACTCACTCTCTTTCTGATCAATAAATTATTGAGTGTTGCTTTGCCCGAGTTGACTGGCAATTGGCAAATTGCTGTGCTAGGGATAATTTCTCATTTTCCCTTTTCTTTTTTTTTTATTATTTTTTTTGGGTAAAAGATGTTTGGTTTGAAGGTGAAGTCTCATAAAACTATAGGCGACTTTATGGATTTACATTTTATCTATGTGTGTTGCAAGGAATTTGGTGAACTATTTCGATAATTGATTGCTAGTTAAAGACTTCATGCACTGCTATTGCATTTGCTGCAACTGGAATCAGCTTGGCTTCTAACTTCTGTTTAAATAATCATTTTCATATTTTCAACTTGATTTAATGTAGGTGGAATTTGTGTTCTTCACTCATCTCCGTGATGATGTATTTTACAAAAATTTGAGGAAACCTATTAATGAAAATTTTGGTTTAACTTGACTCCAATTTATGTTCTTGATGTAGATGGTAACCACCTTGGGTTGTTGCAATAGTTAAAAGGAGCAAGTTTGTGAACCATTTATTTTTAAAGTAATGACGGTAGTTACCTACTGAGGATATTAAATATTGAACAAATTTCTTGATACTAACATAGATTCAATTGGTTATTTTGGAAAGTAAGTTGTATTTTTGAGATAAGGTCTCTTTTTCTGTATATAATTACTTTCTTCCTTTTTTTATTTTTTATACAATGATTTATGTTAAAAGATTTTGGTTCATACCTTAGGTGTAACTCAGGATGAAATTTCTACATCTTTGTGCCATTAGATTTGATTCTATTTCTTTTTATGTTCTAAATAAACTACATATTGTATTTTTTATTTAATTTTTAAATTAAATTTTACATTATGATTATTATATTTTTTGCAAGGGAAATGCCTTACCTTTTATTATCTTTGTATCTTGCATACTCTTTTACCTTTAAATCTTTATTACTGTCAGTTTACTATGAAAAGAAAAACAATTATGCTCAGTTACATAATAATGTTTGTTCCTCCCTCCCTCGTTTAGGTGGGAATCTCAAGGTTATTTCAGGCCACATTTTGATCAAGATAGTGTTCCATTTGTGATTTCAATGCCACCTCCCAATGTCACTGGATCGCTTCACATGGGACATGCGATGTTTGTGACTCTTGAGGTTGTGAAATTATGAGCTAGCCTTAGGTTGACTCTATGAGATCATTAATTTAATTTCTGTATCTTTTGTTAATATTTGCCCATGAAGGTCATAATCTTGCCTGATATTACAGTTCACTGAAGCTCGTGAAATGCTTTCCTACAATTTGAACTTTCATGTATTWTGCTTTTGTCCATGCAACCCTATTACAGGACTTTCAAGCTGCAGTGTTGCCTTAAAATATTTCTACTTATCATATAGTGGTTTTTCCTTGATCTAGTTTGCTGCTAAGGATGCTGGCATTAATGGCTTGAAAGAAGATGAGGAGAATTAAACAATTTTCTATTTGGTGTTTGAAAATTAACTGATATGTAAATGAGATTTGTTATTTCTTCCTAGAAATTTCAAAGAATGTTTTTATATAAAAGAGTAAAATCCAAAGAAATGCAGCAATGCATGTATATCATAATTTTGCTTCATAATATAATGTTAATTTTATGGTTGCCCATTAGAATTTAAGTTTAAATGGGCAATGGTTCCTTCATCTAAGGATTATACTTATTTTTCTATTATCCCCATTCCTCATGAAAAAGTAAAACCAGATTTAAGAATAAAATGTTGATTGGGAGCCTCTCCCCTTTCGTATTTATCAATGAACTATCTCGTTTATTAAAAAAAAAGAGAGAGAAAGAATAAGAAGTTGATTTGGCAGACAATTTTAGTCTTTTCTTATCATAGCCTATAGTTTTTATCCTCACATTTTACCTAGTAGTTTATATCCAACATTTGATGCTAACAAAAAATACTGTGAAATAACATTCCCAGTAACTAGTTTGACAGCTTAATTGCATTACGGTCCCAATTAATTTTATGAGTATCATCTCATTTTGGTTTGGCGGTATCTTTACTATAGTTGTCTCTCAATCAATGCTATTGGTTTCTCCTGCCAGGATATTATGGTTAGATATAATCGTATGAAGGGCAGACCAACACTATGGCTTCCGGGGACTGATCATGCTGGTATTGCAACACAGGTTAGTCTCTAAATGTGAGCCAGGAAATAACTATCTCTATTTTCACATAATATCGTATGACCACATAAAACAATCCAAGATATGTAAAGTAGCAAATTATTTCACTCTTTAATGCAGGAGGAATTTCTCCTTTTTGCGTACTATTTCTTGTGATTGTATTTTGTATGGATGCTTATATATCGAAGTTAGTTATGAAATATATTTTACTTTCCTCCTTTTCATTTTTCTAATTTAAGTATGATCTTGAGGCATTATTTGTTTTTATTTAATTTTTTAATTGAGATTGAGAGTGAGACACATTGTTTTTCTTTCTTCTACAGTTGGTTGTTGAAAGAATGCTTGCGTCTGAAGGAATAAAAAGGGTTGAGTTGGGAAGAGATGAATTTACGAAGCGAGTTTGGGAGTGGAAAGAGAAGTATACCATCTTGCATGATTTAATTTGTTAGTTACTTATTTTGGTCTGAAGTTTGCTTGCTCATATGTAGAATAAAGATAGTGATTAGTAATCATGCCTATCAAGGTTGTTTTTTTTTTTTGGAAACCCTATCAAGGTAATTAGTAGYTCTGTAACTCTTCAAATTTGTATCCCTGCATCTTTGGATCTTATATCTTATTTCTCCATTCTCTGTTTGTGTATAATAATTCAAGCATCAATTCACTTATTCTAAGGACAACTTACATGTTCTTGAATAAGAATGACGGTCCTCTGTTGTTCATGCAATCCATTGTTGGTCCAAAGCAACTATTTCAAAATATTTGTGCTACGAGTCTTAATCTTTCACATTTTTTAGTTACCTCATTTGAAATGAACGATTTTTTTTTCATTCAAACTTTCTAGGTATGGTGGAACTATCACAAATCAAATTAAGAGACTTGGAGCTTCCTGTGATTGGACTAGAGAGCACTTTACCCTTGATGACCAACTGAGTCGTAAGAGTGTTTTCTATTGCATTTTCTCTGTAGGCAATAGACATATGAGAGGGTTAATGTTTGCATAACTGTAAATTTCAAAAGAAATGTTTTTTTAGATAAATAAATAATAAATAAAGATGTACTAAAAAGTCCATTAAAAGTATCTTCTTAGAATGGTCAGTTGGCTGAAAGTAATCACCATTTTCACTGATACATGTTTTTGAATGTTTAGGAGCTGTTGTTGAGGCATTTGTTCGGCTTCACGAGAGAGGCTTGATTTATCAAGGTATAATTCTTATTTCTAAAGGACCTCTATGTAGGGTCATAAATGCAGAAGCTGTTAATCAAGTTCCAAATTTCGTCTTTATTTATCAACATTCATAGTTCTTTTAGAATAATATAATGGCCTAACTATGGTTTTCGTCTTGAACTTTTTCTTGTTCTTCCATTTTGGCTCCCAAGCTTTCTAAACATTGATATTGGTGGCCGAACTTTATCTATATTCCATTTTGATTCCATAGCTTAGTCATTCAATTTTCATTGAACTCCATATGCCATATCCAAATATTCATCTTTATGGTAAAGATTAGATGTGGACTCTTAAACCTCCCTCACTTTCCATTAGAATTTAGACAATCATATATTGTTTTCTCTCAAACCCCCTCACATTCTGTTAGACCAGACCTTAAACTGGAGACAAGTTCTTCTAATTGTCTAACTGGGTAATTTAACTTGTTCTTATTTTAATGGCTTAGGCATTTGTTAGCCATTAGCTAAATGTTACTATTAAACTTAAAATTTAATCAGATTTCTGTAATTACTGCCACCTTTTCCCACAACCTATTTAAAGGGAAGAGATTCATTCAATAAATATGCTAGAATTGTTACTCTATAGAAGGGTTTGAAATGAACATAACTAACTCAGATTTGATTGGTTGTTGTACTTTTCCTCTATCCCTAATAGAAATATTTCGTGTTAGATTTTCAATAAATAATTAAATTTACTCTAACCCATTAGCTTAACCTTTTAGGTTCACCGGTGATTTAACATGTTTAAGATGGTATYAGAGCAGGAGGTCTYGTGTTCCAACCCCTGTGTTGTTATTTCCTCTCAATTTAATATTGATTTCTACTTGTTGGGTCTTGTGCAAATTTCTAAGCCTACAAGTGAGGGAGAGTGTTAGATATCCTATAATTAAATTTATCCTAACCCATTAATTTAAGCTTTTGGATTCATTGATTTAACATGTTTAAAWTTTTTTTTACTGGATATTTAATTCCTTGTAACAATTTAAAAAGAATGAATTACTTTGTTAAAATTGAAAATCATGTATGAAATGTTTCCACATTAAAGATATCTAAACAATTAGCTGATTATTGGATTTATTATTTTTCTTCTCAGGCTCGTACATGGTAAACTGGTCTCCGAGTCTGCAGACTGCTGTTTCTGACCTGGTARTTTATCTCTAGTTTATTAGCAAATTTAGTTATCCTTTTAGTTTTTGTTTTCAATTTTTACTTTGTGACGTGAATGGTAACCTCTTTGCCTAGGAAGTAGAGTATTCTGAAGAATCTGGTACTCTCTATTACATCAAGTACCGAGTGGCTGGAGGTTCAAAGTAAGCAAGGACATATTTCTTTASTGCTCCATTTACTTAGATTTCATAACTCATTCGTATTATTTGATTGATCATCAAAATCAGTGTTTAGATGTAGGYCATCTCCAAGATAAGAAACTATTCATAGTGGTGTACAACACACAGGTGATTTCTTGAAGAAGAATAATATGTCTTACACTAGGAAAACTAGCAACTATTTAAAGGGGCTGCTGGCCTATTAACCATACGGTAACCATACTAACAAATAAAACAACCTAACAACCGTCCAAATCTAACTAACTAACCAACTCTTATATAATAACTACATCACATAGTTTTGGGGAACTGTAATTTTTATTGAGCAAGAATTCTACTATTACTTTCCTTTCAAATACATCAAAGCATTGGTATAATCCACTCAGATGGATCTTTCCTCATTTGTTCTCCTATAAAGAAATTTAACAACTCGAATAAAATTTTAGATCAGTTGGAAGGGATCTAATCCATGTCAATCCAAAATACGATTTATTCCATACAGTAAAAAGATAATTCAGAAACTGGTAATCCACATCCTTGAAAACCTGAAACATCTCGTGAAAGTGTTATAGGCCTCTCATGGTACTTTCATCTGCCCTATGCTCTCATATTTGTTTAAAAGAAAAAAGAAAGGGAAAAAAGAATCTATTTAATCTTCTAGAATTTCCCTTGCTGAAAAATGCAATATGCAATGCAAATACGTTGTACGACTAACAGATGCAAGTTTTGTAATTAATAATTGCATTTTGCTGAAGTTATATGGCCTTCTCAAGATTATTAAGTCAGGTGGTCTGCTTAGCTACATTATTTAGTTCCTCGCCAAAGAGTGCTCTCATTTCATATATTCTTATGTATTATTGCCTTTCTCCTGAGCCTGTTAGGGACTCATGTTTTATAAGCATAACATTTCAATCATATTTTATTAGGAGTGATTACTTGACAATAGCAACAACTCGTCCTGAAACCTTATTTGGAGATGTAGCAATAGCAGTTAATCCTCAGGTAAGATGGCAGGAAACTATTTGTACTCAACCTCATTTTTTTGTTAGATTATTAAATCTCTATTGAACTTAAAAGTTTAAGCTTATTAGCTTCGGTAAATTTAATTTTTTATTAWYACTTTAACACTCCTTCACTTGGAGGTTCTAAAATTTACATAAGGTCCAAAAAATGGTTATCAATGTTAATTAGGGAGGAGATGATATTAAGGGGTTCGACTATAGGACTTTCTATTTTGATATCATGTTAAATTACGAATGAATCGAAAAGTTTAAGCCTATGAGTTACAATAAATTTAATATTAATAAAAGATTAATTACACACATTTTTGTTACTTTCACATGATATCAATTAAGTATGCAATAAAAATGATCTAAAATTATAAATATCTTTTATTTGGTATTTTGGTGAGTCAATCCTAGTCATAGGAAATATGGACGCATTTTAAGCATTCTTGGGAGTTAAAAAGAGTTTTAACATTTTGCTTATATATTATCCATATATCCACCTTACCAACGTTTCCTGCTAATTAATAGGAAACTGCTTCTGGATCCTGATAGTGGGGTGATTATATTTTCAGGATGATCGGTACTCTAAATATGTTGGTATGATGGCAATCGTTCCAATGACGTATGGTCGTCATGTCCCTATCATCTCTGACAAGGTAACTGTATTATTTACCTACGTTTTTATTTGAGATGATTATCTTGATTCAACTTTGTAAGAAAGAAATATCCTTCTTTTTCTACTCGTTGTTGCAAGAATCTGTCTTTAGAGCTGAGRTATTCAATTGTTTCAATGACATATGGTCGTCATATCCTTATYATCTCCGACAGGGTAGCTGCATTCACTTGCCTTTTTCTATTTGAGATGACTGTCTTATTCAAATTTTGATGGAAGTTTTATGAAATTTTCCATGACGACAATTCTTATCAAGATGATAGAAACCCTATGAAACACGTAGGAATTATTAATTCCTAAGGTARGTGGCCAATCATGGGGTTTGAATCCATTCCCTCTTGATTAACCCTAGYCCCTTTGGACCAGTGAGTCACCCATGATGGTTTAATTACAAATACATTATTGTAATTAAGAGGGAATGGGTTTAAATTCTATGATGGCTAATACCTTAGGAATTAGTAATTTCGATGTGTTTTCCAGCACAAAATGTTGTAGGGTCAGGCGGTTGCCCGTGAGATTAGTCGAGGTGCGCGTAAGCTGGTCCGGACAGTCACGGATATGAAAAAAAAGTTACAAATACATTATTGTGCTAATCTTATTTTTAAGTACAATAATAATATATTTTATTTTTATATTATTGATGGTAAATATTTTTTATTATAATAATTTATTTAATATTAATAAATAATGAATAATTAAAATAAATTACATCAGCTAAAATACTTTTTTATTACTTTTTTATTAGAACAATCATTCTTTAACATAAAATTTTATTATGCTAATGTTTAATAATAATGAATTCTATTTGAAAAATCTATTGATATGAATTAATAATAACAAAGTAAAATTAAAAAATTAAGAAATTAAATATAAATTTATAATATGTTATAATAAAATCACATCAACTAATAAAAATGGTATAAATTTTATTAGGAGAAAAATAATTAGTAGTATGAAAAAAATAATAATAAAAGTATAAAATAATTAATTAAAAAAAATTATGGTCTCATTCATAGATGAGAGAGAAAGAGTAAAAGTTGTAAAGTAATTATAATAAATATGTGGGGCTCACRGAATAAGGAATGAGAATGATCGATGAGGTTGCAGGAGAGGAATGATATTACACCTTTAAAGGAATGAGATTACCAAGTTTGAGGTAGGTCCACCATTTGATTCTATTCCTACAACTTGGCAAACACAAAATTGATTCTCATTCCTTGATTCTCATTTGCTTGAAGTAAACATGGCCTTAGAGACACCCCTTTAAATCCCTTAGAAGTTGTCTTCTGTTTCGTTTTAGTCCGAATTTTCAGCATAGGGACTTATTAGCATTAAACTGTATATTGTCTTTGCCGACAAAATAAGCACACCCATACAACAGTTGATGCAGTAAGTCTTTTAGTTACGAGGAGCCCACCTTGCAATTCCAAACATGTTGAATCTGTAGCTGTACCACCAACCCACAGAACACAATTCGATAGTGAAAGAGCATATTATCAAAATCTTCTTAATCTTCCTTACAGAGGAACATATTGAATATATACCACAAACCACAGAACAAAATTTTCAATTGTGAAGGAACAGATCATCAACATCTTCTCTCGGTCATTTTTATAAAGAACTCACCATTGAGGGGATAAAGTATATTTGAGTGAGCCTTTAACTCTATATGAATGCTTATACTTCAAAGAGCAAGAGCCTAAAGAAAGAAACTAAAATTCTTCGCAGGTGTTTCTTTCCAAATTATCYTCACCAGATATTGACGGATTTCACTGCCACTATCTGTGAGGTGAAAAAATTTGTTCATGAAAATTTTCCGAATTGGTCTAAACTCCCAATTCTGGTGTGTTGCGGTGGCAAAGGATTAGTCGTACCCCTGAATTTTGAAAGGTCCATGCAAATGATGATCAAATATCATCCTGAAATAGACTTTTTACCTGAATTTCTCTAAAAATGTTTACCAGCTTGTAAATGAAAGGTGATAAGGAGTGGCATTTTGTATTACCATTACTCACAATGATCTTTACCTTCAACTTAAGAAAATTTGAGCGTTTACTGCATTTACACAATTGAGATCCACCCCCATTGTTTGTAATAAAAACTTTTTTTTTATTTACCGTTTAATGGGTCAAATCAACTTTGTCAAAGCTTTTGTCAAATTATTATTGACTAGTCTTTTCGTTAATTACAAAAAGTTTTTTGAGCACCTTCAAGTGAGTAGATTCAGTGAGGTTCCAACTATTCCTTTTCTTTTTAATCTATGAATTCAAAAGTTTTGAATTACCCTACTCGTTTACAGCTTTCAGTCTAGGCTAGGCTTCTTCTTTATCCCGAAGAAAGTAAAGGTTTTTATCTGGTCTATCGCGCATAGATCTTTGGACGGTTACAAAGAAGGTGCCCCACATGGTCTCTCTCCCCGTCAGTTTGCTGCCTCTGTTTGGGGGATGCTGAATCTCTAGATCATCTTCTAGTTCACTGTCCCTTTGCTACAGCATCCCCTAGATCATCTGCGAGTTCACTGTCCTTTTGCTACAAAGGGCTGGCAATTTCTGCTTAAGGAGTTTGATTTATCAATCTGCTTGCCTAGATTGGTGGACGACTGGTTGGTTGAATGTTTTCAAGGATGGAATCTCAAAGGCAAGATTAAGATGCTGCGGACAAGTGCTTCAAAAGCTCYTTTTGGAGTATTTGGTTGGAAAGGAACCTTCGATATTTCAAGGGCAAGGCCAAGTTTAGTGATTTTTTTTGTAATAGTGTAAATATCTTCGCTTCTTGGTGGTGTCAYAGGAATAAGAAATTCTTTTGTAAGTACAGCCTTTCGATGTTTTTGTGCGACTGGAGAGCTATTCTCTTTTAGTTTTGTTGGAAGGGGCCTTCTCATCCCCTGTCCGTAGGCTGTTTGTTTTGGTTGTCCTTTTTAATGAATCGTGTCTTAAAAGAAAAAAAAAAAAAAAGTCTGGGCTTCTTCAAAAGATCCTCTTTTATGTTTTCTTCACTAGATAATTTCATGTGAAATTGTGCCAAACCTAATCTCTAGCTTTCTGATTTATTGCTATTATTTCAGCATGTTGATAAGGACTTTGGCACTGGTGTGCTAAAGATAAGCCCTGGACATGATCATAATGACTACCTGCTTGCTCGAAAACTCGGTCTCCCAATACTTAATGTGATGAACAAGGATGGAACCCTTAATAAGGTTGCTGGACTTTACCGGTAATTTTTTGGGATGGATTTCTTAGGTTACTTCTAATGTGTTCATAATATTGTGCTTGATATAACCTACTATACTAGTGGTCTAGATCGGTTTGAAGCACGTAAGAAACTCTGGGCAGATTTGGAGGAGACAGGCCTAGCTGTAAGAAAGGAAGCACACACCTTACGGGTACCAAGATCCCAACGTGGAGGAGAAGTAAGTTACTAATGTTTCCCTTCTATTACTAAAGCTACTAGTTTTCTATGTTCTTTTTCCTCTTTGTAGTTAATTGGTTTTTAACTTACCCTCTTTTCCTGTCAGATAATTGAACCTTTAGTTAGTAAGCAGTGGTTCATGACCATGGAGCCATTGGCTGAAAAGGCCCTTCGTGCTGTTGAAAAAGGAGATTTAACCATTATTCCCGAGAGATTTGAGAAGGTACTTCAAAATGCATGGCTGATTGTATATATATTTTCTTTTGTCAGGTATTAGTTATCAATATCTATTGCAACTGTATGCTGCTATGCTACCTTGCGCTATATTGCTCATACGTTAATAGAATTGCATCATCTGTGAATTAAACTTCTTTATATCCTAGAAAGAATTGATAAATTTTTCTTTGATAGAAAACCGTACATTGCTTCAACTATTTCATATGTTTGAGTAGAATTTTATGCCCTTTTTGTGTAGCTAGTTTTTTGGTTCCTTTGTTTTGGGCTGTTTTTGTACGCCCTTTTGCTTTTCCTTTTGTATTCTCTTATATTTGTTCTTTAGGAAAGCTTGGTTTCTCGTTTATATTTATAAAATAGAAAAAATAAAAAAAAGAAAAGTAGAATTCAGGAATAACAAAGGTATAAGGTAAAAGGCTGCCTAATTCAGAAATGGACCAGAATAAGTAGTAAATGTTGGGCCAGCTGGAAAAATGATATATTTCAACGCTATCAATTTGCCATATTTATACCCACTTCTATTGTTGATTGCAGATTTACAATCACTGGCTGTCAAATATAAAGGACTGGTGTATAAGCAGGCAGCTATGGTGGGGACATCGTATTCCAGTTTGGTACGTTGTGGGAAAAAATCCAGAAGAAGAATATATAGTTGCTAGGAATGCTGGTGAGGCTCTTGAGCAAGCTCACAAGAAATATGGGAAGGATGTAGAAATATACCAGGATCCAGACGTACTTGACACTTGGTTCTCAAGGTCTGCTATTATTTATTCAGTCTGAATGTCAAAAAGTGGTGGCTAATACTTCTAAATGGCATTCATCTCTAGAATCCTTGCATAAATTTTCTCTCCCATTTTTTCTCCTTTGGTCATCTGGTATGTTGGTTCAAATTATATACAGCTTGAGTTTCTCTAAACTGGAATGTCTACATGTTTGGCGGCAGCCTCAGTAAAATTGCTGCCGAAGGATCCTGAATATGTGTACATACATACATATATATATATATATATATATTTTGAAAAAAGAACTGTAATTTAGGAGATATAGTAAGAATAAAGAACCTGTACCTGATAAGTATCATATTTCTGCTGTTTTCAGTGCGCTATGGCCTTTTAGTACTCTTGGATGGCCAGATGAGACAGCAGAGGATTTTAAGCGGTTCTATCCAACAACAATGCTTGAAACTGGGTAATGGGTATCTAATTCTAAAAATTATGTAACATTTCATTTGATGCATCCAACTTTTATCTTTCTATTTCTGTCCTTTTAATTTTTCTTGTTTCTAGGTTTTCCAATAAATTGAGAAGAAAATTGGGGCAGGCACGGGTGCCCTTGGGTATAGGGGAGCGAAGCTCCGACTCCTGGCTATTAGGGAAAAAAAGTTGAGAAGAAAATCAAGGATAAGAGTATTGTTAGGTTTTTTATTTTTTATTTTAAGAAATAGAGGAACCGTATGAAATCAATTAACTTAAATAACCTATTGGTGGCATTATTACTTATACATGCTAAAACATTATAAACTGAATTTTTTAATGTAGTAAATTTATTGAAAATAAAATAAGTGGGATTCCACCAGTTAAATTAAATATATGAAGATAATGAAAGCTTTATAAACAACTTTTTTGAGAAATATAATGAAAAATAAATCTGAAATAGAACTCGAGTGTCTAAGCATGTGATGCAATTGGAAGCAAACAATGCCACATATTGATTATCCTCATCATCACCATTCCGGCCTACTTCTTGGTGTGCTCTTCCAAAGCATTTCTGCAATTACTTTCCTAGTTGGGAGGTCTTTTTGTAAGTCGGTTGTCCCTTTTCCAGCGATCAACACCCTCTTTTCCAACAATACAATACAAAACAAATTCTCTCCTTTGTACATTACAGATTTCCTTAAAGGTATTAAAGAGTCAAACAAGTGTTKTACCATGGATGCAAGAAATTTGCAAGCATGCTTTGAGGATACGAAGCTGACTAGGTCTTCTGAAAAAAATTGGGAAATGAAAAATATATTTGTGGCTGTTTGGAGATAATCTCTCTCTTCTCTTTTTTTTTTCTCTTTTTTGAACTAGAGGGTTTTGAAAACTGATTATTATCATGTTGAACAGGCATGACATACTATTCTTTTGGGTGGCAAGGATGGTAATGCTGGGAATTGAATTTACGGGCACTGTTCCATTTTCATATATTTATCTCCATGGACTCATTCGGGACTCTCAGGTGATCAGACTATGTGAATTTTGCTAGAATCTGTATATTATCTTATCTATTTAGGAAATAAGACACATAATTTTTACTAAGAAAATAAGAATGGAGTAAACTAGGATAACCATGGATCGAAAGTCTTTTTTTTTTTTTATAATAACAAAAAACAAACTTTTCATTGATAGAAAAAAGGTTGCACTTTCATAGTAGTAATTGCAAAAAGGTAGCACTTTCTTTATCTTCTGAAGCAAATTTTTTAACCGTTTCCCTTATCATCTACAATTATACAACAGATGTACTTCCATAGTGATCCTGCAATGTCACTTTTTGAAAAAAAATAAAAAAATTATTCTGTATGTGTGTATATATACATATATATTTAACAATAATAATATCTAAATATATTTCTCTGGGTAGTAATACCCATACTTTTCTCAATGAACTGCAAATTAGAGAAATGTTTGCCATGAGAATGGGCGGTCATGCTCTTTGTTATACCATCGTATTCTTCATTTGGTTTTCACCATTTATAAATTGCTTTCTTGTTTCATAAATGTAGACAATGGCAAGTTGATTGTGTTAAAAAAAATTTCAGGGACGGAAAATGTCTAAAACACTGGGAAATGTGATAGATCCACTTGATACAATTAAAGAATTTGGCACTGATGCTTTACGATTCACACTTGCTTTAGGAACTGCCGGTCAGGTTTGTCATAATTTTGTTTACTTACATTATAATTGTCAGAATTCTGTAGCAGTTAGCTGAGTTTTAACTGTTAGAGGTTAATTTACTTTTACATACTTTCTTCCAGGACCTTAATCTATCCACCGAGAGATTGACTTCCAATAAGGCATTCACTAATAAATTGTGGAATGCTGGAAAGTTCATATTGCAGAATTTACCTACTCAGAATGATTCAAGATCTTGGGAATCCATACTAAGTTTTGAGGTTTTCCCCATTGACATTTAAACTATAATAMATTGCTACTTATTTTGCTAAATACGTTCAAGTAGAATTTTTTCATTCCTATTTTTCCATAAGGTGGTTTATGGCAGAAGATAGAAATGCATTAATGTTCAAATTAAAGCTAAGGATAGAAGAATGCTGGAGAGAGAAGACTAATTCAAACGGAGATTTTGGACATCTTTGATTTATACATTTTATTTTGGTGTTAAGAAGGCTAGAACTACACGTGTAGGCTTATACAATTTTGCACTAATCCTTTATCTAAAAGTTGTTGAACCTAATTGTGTAAAGTTATATATTCTGGAGGGTGATAATTGATGGTAATTTAGTGTCAAATCATCAATTAACCCAAAAGCTTAAGGTGATGGATTAGAGTAGATTTAATCTTTTATAGATACCGTAATACTCCCCTTCACTTGTGGGCTTGACAATTTGCAGAAGGCCCAACAAGTTGTAATCAATATTAAATGGGAAGAAAATGACACTATAAGAGTCCAAACACCGGACTTCCTACTCTAATACTATGTTGAATAACCAATCACCCTGAAAGCTTAACCTGATCGATTAGAATAAATTTAATATTTTACCGATACCTTAACAGCTAGGTAAGATTTCTCCAAGAAGGAGATCTTTGGTGTGTTGAATAGTGGAATAAAGGTAATTGACTAGGTTGCTCTCTATGGTATAGGAGCTCATCTTGTTAGTTGGAAAAAGGCCTCTAAGCCTCTGGAAGTGGGGGSTTTGGGCATCGAGAACTTGAGGCTTAGGAACGAGGCTCTCTTGGCTAAATGGTTGTGGCGTTTCCTCCATGAACCTAGTGCCTTGTGGCAAAAGATTATCATGAGTAAGTATGGACCGCATCCGTTTGATTGGGTCCCTGCAGGTGGGTCTAAGGTGAGCCATTACAATCCTTGGTAGGCTATTGCTTTGTGTTTCCCCGCTTTCTCTCAATCTTTACATTCTGTTGTGGGGAGGGTCGTAACACTTATTTATGGGAG